TATTATTATTATTATTATTATTATTATTAATTTTTTTATTTTTGTTGTTCATTCAAGCAACAGCAGAAATAACTGGAAACCATTAAACAAAACTTGGGAGATAACAGCTAAATTATGTTGGTTGTGTTTGTGCTTGTTGTCCAGGTAATTGCCATTGTGATGGACATGTTCACAGACGTTGACATTTTTGCTGACTTACTGGACGCAGCAGCACGCCAYGTTCCGGTTTACATTTTACTGGATGAGCAGAACGCTCATCACTTTGTCTCTATGGTCATTGGCTGCAAAGTCAACTTAGACTTAATTCATGTGAGTTCCCGCTTTRTGTACATTTGACATTTCTTACATCATTTGCTACTATTCAAAAGGGTTTATAAAGCAATAACACAGATAAAATGTTGGTTTTCCAGATGATGCGTGTCAGGACTGTTGGAGGAATAACTTATCAATCCAGGACAGGGAAATCCTTTAAAGGGCAGGTGAAAGATCGTTTCATGTTGACTGACTGCAGGGCTGTGCTCAGTGGCAACTACAGGTGATTCATTTAAWCATGACATTTAATTAAAATGATAACTTTTCTTAATGATTTAAAACATTTTGCCTTATTATTATTATTATTTTTTCCTTCTAGTTTCATGTGGTCCTATGAGAAGATTCACCGCTGCATCGCTCACCTCTTCCTCGGTGAACTGGTCACTACTTTTGATGAGGAGTTTAGAATTCTCTTTGCTCAGTCAGAGCCTCTGGTCATTGATACATCCAGTGGATCACTCGCCATCACTGACCCCAACAGTTACCTAAACACCCAGTTTGGTTTAAAAAGGTCACAGTCTTTGCGTAACCCTGTTGGTTATAGAAGACAACCTGAGCTTCCCTCAGCCTTCCCCTATGGAGACTCAGATCGTAACACTTTCCGAAGAAATGACCCATTTCGTCACACGCTTGATACTGGCACAGGGATTACAATTGGGAAATATTCACAGCAGCAGTTTCGTCTGCAGCAATCGTATTTAGATCAAGGAAAGTCTATAGTGTCCAGACAGCTGGAGATGAGTTCAAATACTTTCAAGAGGCACAGCTTTGCAGAAGGAACTCAGGAAAACTACTCATCTTCCAGGCAATACATGAAGCACAGAGTCATGAACAATCTGGATGAGACAGATTTCCACAGGTGCGTGCTGTTAGAGCTCACATTGTATGTGACATACTATGTWATTGCTTATCTATAAAAAACTAAGACTTCACTTTTTTTCTATACAGGGAAMAGTTTCAAAGTAGCCATTACTACAGCGAAGGGCCTGGACCAGGTTCTGGCCACGGACACTACGATAGACTTCAAGGCCGTCCACCGCACCTTCCCATTGATCAGTATTCGGACTCAAGCTATCGCTCAGATCGAGAGCTTCCACTTGAAAAAAGAGAGTACTTTTCATCCGAGGACCTGAGAGGACTTGAAGGGCTTCATGGTCCCCCTGTAGCTGGGAGGTACGGTGGAGGATCTGGCCATAAGAGACCAACTATTGGTCAAGCATATGCCTGTCAGACCTCTCCCACACAGGTCCATCCGCCAGACAAAAAMATGTTTCATAAACAATCTGATCAAGAGTACAACCAAGACCAAAGTGTAAAGCAAGGCCTGAGAAGTTGGAGAATCAACTCCTATTTAAGTACCTATGAGGAGGGTGGAGAGGATGGTTTGGCTCAGCCTATGGGAGGTGATACATTTGAGGAGTCTCAACCTTCTGAGCAACCAACTGCATCTGAAATTTCAGTGCCGCGTTTTGGAATAAAGGAACCACCAAATRTTGCTGCCAAGCCCAGACCAGATACACTGAGACCTCGCTTCGGAAAGCCAAAATTGCCGGAGACCAGCAATAAAGACTCTGCCCCACTAGCAACAAAGGACGTGTTTTCCTCTTTCAGTGATTTTAGGTCTTCTATTCTGGAGAAAAAAGACCGGGTGACTGAGAAAGAAAATGAGAGGGAGTCGCAAAGAGGTACAACAAGAGAAGTGGGAGATGATGCAGAATCGAAGAATACCTCAGATCTCTTTCTGTCCAGACATGAATCAGTCCGGTCACGCATTAACCCACTCCTTCAACGTAGTTCTCGCCTTCGCTCCTCACTTATATTTGCGTCTTCCAAGGGAGAGATACACAGTGGCAGCTTAGGTATAAAACCAGCAACAGAGGAGGACGAGCAGTTAGATTTAGGCCGCACTTCGTCCATTGTGGCCCAGATTCTTGAAAAGAGGAGATCTTTGTCACGTGAGCCTTTTGAATGGCGGAAGAAGGCCGAAGAAAAGGACAGTATCAGAGAGACGGAAGAGAAAGAGGAAAAAGAAAAGGAGCAAGAAAAAACTAAAACAGAAGTGAAAACTGAGGTTAAAGTAAAGGTGGAACCTCAGACCATCAACGTAGAAGAAAATATAACATCAGATGTTGAAAAACCTAAAGCTAAATCAACATTAAATGTAAATGATGTCGCTACTAGACTGCAATATTTTAAAGACCTAGAAGCTAAGAGAAAAGCCTCAAAAATGGAAACGGAGAGATCTACAAAGGCTCCAGAGCCTCCTGAAAAGAAGCCTGACCTCTCTGAGAAACCTYCTGTCAACCCAGTGCCCACTTCAAAGACCCCAACTCCAACTGTCAGTCCAGCAGACCATGAACCAAAGAAACCAGACGTTCCAACAAAATTGRCAGAGGTCCCTCGCAGACCTTCATTCAGTTTGAAACCCTCAATGCTCTCACCCAAGCCTTTTGTGAGTTCCCTGAAGCCTTCGGACACATCACAAACTCGCAAAGAGGAAAATGAACCAGAGGGTCAAAAGAAAGATGTTCCTAAGTTACTAAAACCACTTTCCTCACCGAAGTTCTTCAAGAAAGATCCGCTGAAGATTAAGGGACTGAATCCTCGTCGGATCTCTTGTGGTGATGAGATTCTGAGCACAGATGCAACAGATGCAGAGAAGAGTGAGATAAAAAAGAACCGCTCTCTTAGTTCTTCAACTCTGCTACACGAAGACTCTAAGGAAAGACTGCATAAGATTATGGGCTCCAATACATCTATTAACACTATTGGTGAAGGGAAAGGAGAAGGAAAGACRCTTGAATTTCTGAAGAAACAGACTCAGAGGTTAAAGGGGTTTTTGGGACCAAAGGACAAAGAAAAGAAAGCTTCAGGAGAAGAGAAGGGAATGAGCACGGTCATAGAAGTAGCTGATGATACAAGCAAAAAGCATAGCTCTTTAGCTAAAGACTCAGAATCCACAGCTGCTGCTCAATCTTCAACTAATTATAAAACGTCGACGTCGACATCAGTTTCATCACGACACCAGAATCCAGGAAGCTCTGTTCTGTTCAGCAGCAACCTGCGAGATGACACTAAAGTCATCCTGGAGCAAATCTCTGCCAACAGCCAGAAAAACCGCCAGGAGCGTGAAGAAAGTGGAGTGAACAAAGACGACGCTGCTGCAGAGAAAGAACAGGAGGCACAGAACCCCGTAAAAAAGAGTCGATTCCTACGAGCAACAGGCAACAACCAGGAGAGAGAGGGGTTACTGAAGAGGATAGAAAGTCTGAGGAAGGAGAAGAAGGTCTACAGCCGTTTTGAGGTAGTTGATGTTAGCAGCATAGATGGAAAAAATATATAAACAAAACAAGAAAAACTCTCACTAATGACCTTTTTTTAAAAGTGTGAGTGGAATCTGGTTTATAATTACAAAGCGTTAAATGRTAAATTAGCATACAGTTGTTTTTATCCTGTGCAGGTATTTTACTYACATGTTTTGGTGGTGGTGTCATGCTTTAGCAGGAGTCTAATGCAGTCATTACATAATTGTTCAGAAATAGTCTTCCATTTCTATTTGTCTGAAGCACCGGAATACAACAGTATGATGGGGAAGGAGAAAAGGAGGCAGATGTACTTGATTTCACTGTTAATCCTGTTGCTCTGTTAACAGATGGGGAATAGCCTGGGATAACGAAAGTTGGAGGAGCGACCTTTTATACGGACACTATTTATGCAAGACGATCAAAAACACACTCTGCCAACTTGTGCCAACGACATTCAATCACTCCTACAAAGTATCTCTGGTGCCCAACATTGTGGCCTTTCCTGGACTTTTTACAAATAAGTAATAAAACTTGAAAAGACAATATTGAAAATTCTGGAAACAAACTAAAGTCAGTGAGTTTGGAATGTGCCTTTTTGCCAAGACCTGGTACTACTTTTTCCTTATATGGTGACTGAGAGACAAAACAAGACTACGTCCACACTGGATGCATGGGCTAATGTTTCACCCAGCACAAAAAGGCATGGAGATTAAATTAAAACTGAACTTGTACGAACGTGACTGAGGGACTTGGAAAAGATAAAAACAGACTGCACATGTTGCACCTGAGGGAAGGAAAATGGATACATGCCAGTCAAAAAACATGGCAGTATTTGACAGTAAGTGTACAGAACCAGTGTTGTGTGTTGCTGGAAATGTTTTTGTGCCTTCTACTTGTTTGTAACTGAATGGGGGAAAGTGTCCTTATGGTTTCACCCAAGTGCCAATGGCTGATCGAGGCCAAAGCTGGAGAATTATCCCAAAAGGAAAAAATAAGGTTATGAGTAGAGAACATAAAAAATGGTATGTAAAAACGTGTTTTTAAGTACTAATGTAGCTGCAATAGAAGTATGTTTTGATAAAAAAAAGACAAAGCTGGAATGAACTTTTAATGGAGCCTACTGTATCTTTCCATCAAGGTGTGGACCTGCTTTTCAGGACTGAAGATGTCAAAATAACCATTCAGGGAGGAGCTTGCTAAGTCAGAGGGCTTTAGTTGTGTATATGTGATAGCCTTCATTTTTAATGTAATATAAATAAAAATGTAAATCATCTACAGCTGCCTTGAGTCACTGAAAAATCGATTTGAGTTTCACGGGCTTGTTTCTCTTTTTTTTTTTCTTCTAAATTTTAAACAAGGCATTACCTGTAAACGAAAACAAGAAAAGGTTGGGTTTTTTCCACAATGCTGGACCAGAGCCATGTTTCCTTACATAACACTTCAGTTCTGAGGTTTACGCCCTAAGCAGGACTCCTGACTCTATTGTTGGTCAATAAACACAATTAAAACTTACAGTATACGCTTGATGATTTGACTGGGCGTAAAACTATTATGTGTTCTTGTAGAGTGAGTCTGAGAACTGGATTTATTCCTGAGAAGTGATGCAAAGTTTACACTATCGTCTATACATGACTTAACTGTACATATTTATATAAAGAGGCTTGTTCATATTTTACTCTATAACTTAGAATGTCCTAATTTGCTTTACTTGCTTCTTTCGGGGTCGCAGGGAACTGGTGCCTATCTCCAGCAGTCATTGCAATAGGCGGAGTCCGCCCTGGACAGGTCGGAAGTCCATCACAGAGTCAAACGAGACAAACAACTTTTCACTCTCTCACACACACCTAGGGACAAGTTAGAGTTACCAATTAACCTGACATGCATGTTTTTGGTCCGTGGGAAGAAATTGGAGAACCCAGAGAAAACTCAAGCATGCACAGGAAGAACGTGTAAACTGTGACCTTGCTGAGAGTGACAGCTCTGACCACTGCACCCCTAACACAAGTACCTTTAACGCATTGTAAAAACTGACTTAATGGTGTTTATTTTGGATTCATATGGGAATGTTTGTAAAACCGGCATTAATTTGGATACATCAGTTGCACAGGATTATTGTGTTTGTTATGAAACCTGAAAGAGTATTACATTGTTTTGTAAATACTGCAAAAAAAAGAAAAAAAATTAAATTTCTAAAAAATTATTTTGATTGTGACTGTTTGTATCTCAACAGGTGTGTGTTTCAGTGAAATACTGTTAAAATATCTAAATTAGAGGCTTCGTGCTGTTTTTACATAATTCCAAAGTTGCAGCAACAATTAAAAAGCTTTATGATTTTTAAAATAAATTAACACTTTAATATAAAAATTTAAAATATTTTTATTATGGTCACACCGGAGATGAACAGCTGCCTTTAACAGATCTCAAAATTTAAAATATTTCAGGTTTGATACCTAAATCTATCAGAAATGTTCTAGAATAGAAAGATATTAAACTAGTTTCTCACGTAACAAAACACAGTGAAAACATTTAAAAACAATGCTGAGCTAATCAAACTTTAACAAGCCAACAGGTGATGTAGCTAATATTAATGAACAGGTTGAGAGTGAGGATTCTTCAACCGTCAGGCTGAAGAAACTCAGAAGCTGATGTTAATGAAATTTAGCATTTCTGTTTTAGTGCAGACTTGGAACAAAGTTCAGGGGAAAAAAAGAAAACTTTACCTTTAACTACTAAAAACTACCAGTGAGTAAGCAGGTTGACTCAGTCAGTGCAGCTGCTGTCCCCAGCTGCTTTGTCCTTCAGTTGTTTCTTCTTCTCCTGTAGCTCCTCATCAAGTTTGTGCAGCTGAACCAATTTCATTTTTTCTATTAACAGAAATAAGAAAACTTCACCACTAGGGGTGTAACAAACTACTCATCTCATAATATGAGATACTGAGAAAATATGCTTATTACTAAAATAAGCTTTTGTCACAAACTCAGTGAGTGGCCTCTCTACTGTCTGATGGGTGCAAGGGTCCAAAATGAAAAACATGATCAAGGACCAACGTTTTTTCCCAGGACTTTTATTCAATTCTTGTGTCTCCACCTCATATCTACTGTAAGTATGAGAGACTTTTTCCTCTCAATTCAAACAGATTGTTGAGGTTTAAACTTTCACAAGAAATCTTTTAATTGAAGTTTTAATCTCCTATTCACCTCATGTTCGTCGATGTAACTGAAAACAATGAGAGGTCACTTACCTGCTGACAACAGCTGACTTATAGTCTTTTCTGCATTCTCCAGTTCAGTCGGGAGTGTCTCTGGGGCCTAAGTAATAATTTAAAAAACAACATCTACAAGATATAGTCCATCTTTCAGTTTTAAAAAGTAAAGTAGTAACGAACCCGAGTAATATTAAAATTAAATAAAAACTTACAAAGACAGAGTGTAGCTGCTTGTGTTGCTCAATCATTTGCTGAAGTTGCTTTTCAAATTTCATCCTGTTGAAAGAGAAAGTTGAGTTTTCAGTACACTAAGATAACATGTTTTTACTGTTTTGTTTTGAGTGCAATGAATCATGGCATCATATGCAGTTACCGCAGCTTCCTGTGTTTAAGCTTCACTTCCTGGATTTCACATCTGTACTGTTCTAGCTGCTCCTCGCACTCCTCGCTTTGCTTCTTCTGTCTACAAAACACACGTTTTATCACTCAGTACATATTTTACTATTATTAACTAACAGTTTTATTCAGAGAGGATGGATGAAACCAAACTTAACACACTTTATTCAAATTTGCTTGTCTTTACAACGCACACTTTGGAGCTAGATTCACAAGACATGAGCTTTTTGTGGCGAGAGAAACAACTAATTTAGTGATTTATGAAAGTAAATCTGCATTGTCGACTAGTTAATGTTTATAAAAACAGTAAGTTTAATGAAAAATGGTGGTGGAAGGTTAGAGCAGACATAAAACAGGAACGAATGGGAAAATTTATTTTTCCCCCAACAAACCACATTGTCATGGAAGAGGCCAACCTGGTCAGGTTACTGGTCCATCACAAGGTATGTTTACATGCGCAAAATTCTTTGATAGGATTGAAATGTATTTGGATTAAATAATCAGAATGTATCTGTGGGTCCTTAAAAAAGTCTTAAATTTGACTTGCTAAAACCTGCAGATACTAGGGTTGGGCAATTTTGGCAAAAAAAATTAATCATGATTAATTGGGGTATTTAGCTGATAACGATTAATTTGACGATGGAGTCCCTGGACACCCTTGAGTCCTGGTCACATGACCAGTTTAGTGGGAAAGATTTGCTCTTTGTAAAAATCTGTTCCAAATTGTGTCAAAATTACAGACTTCAGGCTGCACATCAGTTTTTAAATTGTGTTGATAAATAAATTACAGAAGTTATTTTTTTCAATGTTCGTCAAATATGAAGCGGAGAGGAACACCGAGCGGACTGACCTGGCGGCATTAATCCCATTAATCGTCAAGTGTAAAAAAAATCAATTAATGTTTTTCTAACTATTAATTGCACACGATACGATTATGCCCAACCCTAGCAGATACCCTGGTATCATTTACATGAACACAATCCGATCATGACGAGTGTTTACACGCACCAGGCTTTTATTCAGAATAGAAGCACTGACATGCGCAGTTGTTAACTTTCCCTAAAAAAAAAACACAGAAAAAAGTTCTTCTTCCATAATGAACATAAACAAACAGCTTCTGAGTGCTCAGAATGGACCTACGACAGGTTTTCATAATGGTGGCGACGTTACTGCACTCCCTGGTTGAGCTGCAGGTGACGTATGTCCTCCTTCTTTATTGATTGAGAAAACGGGAGGAAAAGTTCTGTGCTGCTGGAAACTGCTGGATGAAAGTCAGCAGACATGCGCAGTCAGGTCAGTTTTCCACAATCAGAATAAGACGATCAGATTAAGTGTTTACATGCACACTGTTCAGATTATCAATCGGCACAAACCAACCCTCTCATTCCGATTACAAATTCATTCGGATCGAGCTGAACTGGGTCAGAATAATCCGAATGGGGTGTTTACATGACGCTTTTTTATTCCGAATGGCTGTTTAATCCGATTACTTATGTCCATGTAAACATAGCTACAGAGGCATCTGTGCATGAGTTCTTATTCTTAAGCTCAACTTAGAAGCAGGACTATCTGGAAGAAACCCTTACAGAAACTGCATAAAAAGTCCTGCATAATGGAACACAAGCCAAAGGCCTATCTTTCATTAGGTGGATGAAGGTTAAAGATGGACCAAACTGTGTTAAGCACCGCAATAAAGTGTTTCAGACAGTGATAAATGGCAGGAAATTCTTCTGCATTTTGCTATCAGATGAGTGGAGAGGGGGCAAGCAATAAAGGAAGCTAGACTTGTCAGACAGGCCTTCTAGTTTCAAGACAAGAAAATGACCCAAAACACACGATGAAAAAGATAAATGGGTTTCACCCGACCCCACTGAGCTGGTTTAGGTGTTCAACAGATCAACAAAGGCTAAGCAAACTATTTGTTGAAACTTAATGGGTTGCTCCAAATTTTCTAAAGATTAAACTGAAAAAACACCATAAAAAAGGGGAAACCACGGAAAAGTCAGAGAATTAAATAAAATAAGTTTGTTACAAGCTCTTTAGACCTGTTTAACAAGAAAAATCTTTTAATTGTGAGTTACTGCCATCTAGTGTTAGTAACAGTAACATCTAGAGGTCTCGATGTTAGATTTATGATGATTCAGGCATTTAAATATTGTCTTTGTGCATAAAGTTTACCTATCAGATTCCTGCTCAGATTCTTCACACTGGAACTGCAGCTTCCTGTACAACTCTGACAAAAAAAATCATCCCTGTTATCAAAATTATTAGCAGAAAATTTTACAAAATATATACAAAAGATGAAAAAAAAAAATAGGTTTCTAAGCGTGAACAACCAAAGCTTTAATATTATGTGGCCTTAATAGAGAGTCAAGTGCAACATGAAATTTAGTTGCTTCCATCCTATTTTCACCTTCTTTTTCTTTATATGTTCTGTCCAGCTGGTCAGCTTCAGTTTGTACTGCAAAAACAAAGATACACAACATCTTTTCACTGAAACATTACACATCTTACTCAACATAACTGAAAGCTTTCCTAAATCATACCAATATCACAACACTTTGTACTTTTAGTCACATTTTCATCACATCTCAGCTACATTTGCTAAAAATTTAAAATGCTTATGGGTAAAGATGAACCATTTTCATTTCATTTCTTACATTTTTCCAGTTCCTTCTGCAGTGAGTCACTGACAGACTTCAGATCTTTAATTTCATCCTGAAGAATGTTTTTACCTAGAATACAGGATATCAAATACATGGATATTACTACTGAACTTCATAATAGTGTAACAACTTCTTTGACATCCAATATAACATTTATATTTCCACATAAATAAAATCAGAATGGTTCTTGAAGGGTGTTGCTGTTCCCAACAAGATGGAGATAATAATCATATCTCATTCAACCCCATTCATCATGTTCTGTAACTCCACGGATGGAGTAACAGGTAAGGATGTACCTCACTGACGATAATCTTGTGACGAATTAGAGAAGCACTACATGCGGCATAAGCAGCTATCTCCCATACGGTTTTAGTTTTAATAACAAATCTCTGACAACAATGACGTACTTAAATGCTTTTAGCCTGGGTCAAATTCGTGTCAAATTTCAAACTTTAAGTCGAACTTTCTTTTATTTAGTTTAAACATGAGGCGGAAGTGAATGTTGCGTTTGCATGTCGTCAGAACAACGTGCATTCTCATTGGTGCGCACATTAACACAGATTTCTATGAAAATTTGACCTTAAAATGAAGGTTTTCATAATTCAAAGTTGTTGTGTACTTTTAGAGAAACCTATAACATACACTTAATGTCCTTTCCGCAGCTTATTTAGATTTTTGGGACGGTAAAACACAGAACAGCGGAAGCGTAACGTAACGTAGCTTTACAAAGAGTACTACAACAGTCAAGATAGCTACTCATTCTTTTCTAATTTTAATACCTGATGAAATGACACGATGAGTCATTGACGTGTGGTTTAAGTACACAGTTAGATAAATAATAACCTCTAACACTGATTACCAGTCTACATAGCATATATAAATCACAAACCTCAGATATACACATCTAGATCATTACTGCTTCTATGTAGAGCACATGGACACGAAGACGGAAATACGTTGCAGGGACTTCTCTAGCAAAATCTGTACTCTTTAGTTAATGAAAATAAGGTGAATTTAGATGGTTATATATTGTTTCGAAATGTTAAACTGAGCATTAAATGTAAACGTTTAGCCTAAAATAAAATTATCTATGATGTTTTGGTTGAACTGCACACATCAACTTATAAGAACGTCTATATAATAGTCCCCAAAACTACTTTACAAATGACATTTTCTCTGAAGGAGCCCACGTTTAAAAGAAGCATTTTAAAACATACACTAAAGAAATTAAGCAAAATGTGTAAATGTAAAAAAAACATATATACCTCGTCGCTGCATCCTAAGCTTGTCCATCAACTGTTCAAGTTTAGGTTCCTGCAATTTTGCATCTGACAAATATGGACAAAACAAAAAAAATGACAATGTTAAAAAAAACTTTTGAGTTGTTAATGTCCTGCTTTTATCGGTTTACCTTTTGGTAGTTGCTTCGCGTTAATCATGTCTTCAATGCTATAACCTGTCATAACAAATAATGCTAATAACTACATGTTCTCATTATAATTAGGCTAGCAAGAAAAAAATAGTTATTCTCTAAGACTTTCTGTGTAATTACATATTTTTCTTTGACTTTACTTTAGAAAACAATTGTAACAGAGCCGTAAAGTATTTTAAGTGTTAAATGCTAGCCTAATTTTAGCTAACGTTTCATTTAGCTAATCATGTATGAACATTAAAAACATAAAGTTATAAAACAAAGAATCGTCAAGCCACTGTTTTTGCAGCTAGAAAACACTTAATTCTTATCATATTCAAATTTTAGGGGTCGTACCGTTTCGTTCCGTCATTATTAACCAGATTTAGTCGGTAACTTAGTTCAAACTTTGACCTCTTGACTCCTCAAACGATGGGGGCTCGCGCGACTCACGACTAGCTAGCTATACGGCTCGTGCACAGAAGCATTAGCCAGGCAGCATTGTGACCTATGTTATTACTTTCCCCCCTTTATTTTCTTAATAAATTGCCACCAAAGACTACACTGTTTAATTAGTGTAGATTCCAGTAAAAACAATAAAAAAGAAACATCACTTAAGTTCAACATTTATCTTCATTTTATTGAAAAGCAAACAACTGTGTACAGGAGTTCAGTCCAACCTCAATTTGATGCAAGTATACAATGCGAACAGACATCCAAAGCCTAAACTTAATTTATACACATCAAAACACTGAGGTGTCCTATGTACATTAACATGTTAGTCGAATACACAATATTTAAAAGAAAAAGGAGTCCTATCAGGAATTCCAAACAGTGCCCGTCTAAAACAATAGCTTTACTGTGTGTTTGCACATGCAAACAATGACAGGGTCATGCAAGAGGTATAAATGATCAAGAAAATGTAAAAAATAGTCTTGTTAATTACAACCTTCACTCCTTTTTGTGTTTGAATGTAGAAATATTTGGCGATTAGCACAGGTTATTTCTTTACTTGCCAAGGAGTTTTATGAGTTTACAATCTCTTGCTTTATTTTGTGACTTGTTCCCCCACCCCATCAGCTTCGAATGAATCAAGCTCAAACAAATCAGCTCCTTTAAATTCAGCAATTAGAATGATTATTTTTAAAGTGACAAATGAGTTGTAATGAGAAATAAATAACAGCAGGTTTCACTTCACAGTAATGGCCACACAAGAGGGAAGTTTTAAAGACAAAAAACAAGAAAAGGAAAAATAACTACTTGCCTGTGACACAATTCCAAAAAATTTTAAAACAAAAACAAAATCTTTACACTTTTAATAAATAACTATGTTTATACCTGTCCAAAACATTCAGAACACAGTGCACTTTTTCCTCAAACAGCAACACATCCAAATGAATTGCTCCGGCATGCTTTCAGAGGTAGGAATAAGGGAGGAGGGGGGATATCTTTTGAGGGGAGGGTGGCACTGGCAACAATACGTTTAATTATTTACAGCAGTGAGACGCGAGCTAGAGGTGTTCCTCTGATAAATCTACAGAATCGTACAGCATCTTCGGTTGTGTTTCCAGTTTTGCCATGCACAATTAGTACACACCAGCAGGCTGAAAAGCAGAGACAAGTCGGTGAACACAGGTGAAGAAAAATAGTTATTCAATCCTTACATCAGGAAAAGCTGGTTCTACATTAGTAAAAAGCGTTATTTTACCCCCAACATTGTTTTTCAGTTTAATTTCTGCAGCAAGGCAAGGCATAGTGCCGAGTACCCAGAGTGCAACACGTTTTATTTTTAATGTGTCAAAGCTTTACTGGGAGTTTGTTAAGTGTGATAGACCCATGTGTGTTAGTAGAATCAGAGGGAAAACAGCAACACTGACAACTGTGTCATTAACAGCTAGGTTTGAAAAGGAGTAAATCAACGTCATCCCCTCTTTGATGAATTTTATGGCATGCTGCATCTCCTCCACAGCACAACTACCTGTTTCAGGAAAACACAACAGTATGTGTGTGTGTGAGGGCTGAGAGATTTAATGAGACAGGGAGAAAGAGCGTTATAATTGTTGACAATAAAAGGGAGGCGTCCTCCGTCTCGCTGCCGTTCTTCTGAAGCTCATTCRCGGGAGCGTCCCACAATGGACAGGATGTAGAGGAAAATGTTGATGATGTCAGTGTAGAGGTTGAGGGCAGCAAAGATGTACTCCTCTGGACTCAGGGCCAGCTTCTTGTTGCCCAGAAGAAGCTGGGTGTCAACAGCCAAAAACTGCATAMAGGAGACAGTAAGGCATTTCAGAAACAAGTAGCATATGTTTATTTTAATTACTTCCTGTGTTAATAACCRGTAGTATTTTTATATTTTATTATACTTAAGTAGAAAAAGTTGTCATTTCATCACAAAAATAAACATAAACTTCAGTGTTGCCTGTTGCTCCTTTGTTTTGTATAAATTACATGCCAGTCCACGAGGGGACACGATCATTCAAGTAGCACGTTATGGGGTTTATACTCCTTTTGTTGTTGATTATTGTTCCTGGATGGCAGAATAAAGTTTACCTGATCCAAAAGGAGTTATTTTTACTAACTAACAGTGGTAGTTGAGGATGGGTGGGTATTCTGACACATTTCACAATGGTTCACAACCTTTTTYAACAGACTGCTGCATTGTGTGTCCTTGCAAGTTTTCAGACCCCTCTATTGATTTTTYYCCCCMAAAAAGCAAMTAGCAATCAATCTAGCAACTTTTCCCAGTGTTCTTGGAGACTTTTGGAGACTTTGGCGACAGCACTTACATCAGTGAGCAGCGTTTATATAGAACTGGCAAACGGTCCGACTCACTGTAGCCTCGTGCAGCAACCCGAGCTGCAGTCAGAGCAGAGATGGGACCGCTGCATATGATCACGCAYGCACAAAGCTGCCACTTCTCCCACCCCGGTTTACAAAGTGGGATGCAATTTTTACTGTAATGTTTTTTTTTATCTGACACTGACTAAAATAAATCCCTGCACCTGCCTGCATTTGACTCACAGATCAGTCACTTCACCTCTTCCACCGTGTGTCTCTGTGACWTATAACAGTGTTTTGGTTAAATTTGATATTCTCAAAGTGTATTTAAGTAATCTGGATCTAAGCAAATCATTTCATTATGTTTATTTGCTGATCTAAACATATGTTTTTATCTACTTTTTGTCTTCTTTAACATTCATTTACATCTCTACTACAGCCTGGATCACAATTATTGGCAAATGTCCAAATATGCAAGTTAGATGATAATGACTTTTAGGCTGGCCATTACCAAGTTTTCTTGCTGAGGAGTTGGCAACAAGGCTAAACTTACGCAGGTGAAGAGCAGGGCCCCCATTGAGGCATAAAAGATGTGCAGGATCTTGTTGCGGATGAAGATGCAGAGGATCGAGAACAGCAGCAGAACAATGAGGCACACAAAAAGAACGCCCCGACAGGAAGTGAAGTCATACTTGCTCTGTAAAAAAAAAAAAAGGACATAAAAAAAATAAATCAACTGTTGGTTTGAATGCTTAATATTTTAGACCAGCTTCAACAAGTTTTTGCTGTAAAAAACTAAATCAGAGACAACTGACCCTGCTGCTTCAATCAAAGCTCAGATACTTAAAAGGGATCCACGATTAGTTGTAAYATTAGACTTTATTTATTAAACATATTTTAACTGTAAACTAAAGACTAAAAATACTGTAGGCTGTTTAGTTTTTATAATTTTTKAACTAATTTTTAAAAAAATATATTACACGGACTGAGCAATTTTATTTACACGCAAAGCATTCTGGGTAAATGATGACGTGGATGGGTCATCTGTGTGAGGCTGCTAGCGAGCTATATCCACCCTGAAGGTTAATCTTGGACAATATCTGATGATCGACACTTAAATGAAACCAGAGAGCGTTGACAGAGAGGAGAAGGTAGAAAAGACTCAGCCTGTAACTGAAAATATGGATGGAGGACAACAGAGCTGCTTCATGGAAGAAGAACCTCAACTTAGCTTGTTAGCTATAGCATTAGCCCAGATGCTATCACCATATATATGTATTAGCTCAGCGCTACACATTCTCTCTCGTCACTGAGGTCCTCCATCCACATGAATCTAAAAGGACTCAGCCGGCAACTGAAAATATGGATGGAGGACCTCAGTTTTGTCGCGCTAACGCTGAGCTAATACATATAAGGATATATAGCATCGGCGCTAAAGCTAACAGTCTAAGCTGAGGTTCTTCTTCCATGAAGCAGCTCTGTTGTCCTCCATCTATATTTTCAGTTGCAGACTGAGTTATTTCTACCTTCTCCTCTCTGTCAACGCTCTCTGGTTTCATTTAAAAGAGCCAATCATCAGATATTGTCCAACATTAACCTTCAGGTTGGATATAGCTTGCTCACACGGAGGACCTATCCACGTCATCATTTACCCAGAATGCTTTGTGTGTAAATAAAAATGCTCAGTCAGTGTAATATATTTTTTAAAATTTAGTTTAAAAATCATAAAAACTAACAGCCTACAGTATTTTTACAGTCTTTATTTTACAGTTAAAAAATATGTTTATCAAATAAAGTCTAATGTTACAACTAATCGTGGATCCCTTTAAGAATCAGAGGRATAATGTTTGACATCTGAGCTGACCTGCAGAGAGAAGAGGACGACGGTGAAGCAGACGACTGCAGTGATGCCTACAGCTATGATGACCGTCTCGGTGTCGTAGAAGCTGGCGATCATGCCAACCATGTAGGAGAGGCTCAACGTCAAGATGGACTGCAAGTAAAATAAAGTTTTTCAATTAAAAATGTAACATTTTGCATTTGTACTACTCTACCAGTCACACATCCATCTATAATAGTCCAACAGTTAACTTTCTTATCTTAGTAAATGGATTAGGTTGACACGAGTAAATATTTATTTTTATTATTTTAGGTATGTTCTTACCAAAGCAACTAAATTCCATGGGTGCTTACGACGGAAGTCCCCGCAGCAGCTGAGGACGATCAGAGACACGAAGAACACTGCGTAGGACACGTAGTAGGTCCACGGGTTACGGCGCACAAAGTATTTGGCATCAGCAACAAAGGTGAAGACAGCAACAAAGGAGAAAGTGATGAGCAGCTGAGCTGTGAGGACTGAGAAAACCTGTTTGTGGAAAATAAGAATAAAGACATTTTTAGAGCTGAAGAACCAGTAGAATATTTTTTTTCTTATTGCTCTGAATAGTTCACCTGCTTTACTTACTTTTCTAATGAAGGCTTGTCGGATGCTTTTATCCTCAAAGCCGGCGCTGGTGAAGTCTTCGTTATCGTAGTAGGACGGCGGCCCGTCAGCGTGGTACCCTGGGCTGCCTGCAGCTGCTGGTGAATAAATATTATAAGATGAATCTTCAGGGTTTCACAGGGCAGTTGGCAAAACAAATGAACGAGCATTTAATGTGTTTTCAATACAGTCATCATGTCTTCATTATCTGTTTATCAAAATTAGAACAAGCAATAAGCCTGCTGCAGATTGAAAGGGAAATGTGCATTGATGGTATAAACCCATTAAAATGTTCATAACTTGGCTGCTCCTCTTTGCAAGGGTTGCACCTGTGTGCAAACTCACATGGAGGAGCTGGTTGTTTTAAGCCAAACGTCCTTCCTGACACAACCTGAGCTCAAACCTGCAGCCTCAGGTGTACAAGACAACGAGCACCAAGGCAGAGACCACCGAGCTACTGCAGCCCCCAACTCAATAAACACTGATGTGTGTAATGAGTAAAACAATTGAGTTGAAATTAAAGCACACGCCTCAGCTCTGGTGTTGAATACTCACCCATAGGGTCACCAGGAAAACCTGGCTGTCCAGGACCTTGCTGATAAGGGCTCTGAGGGTAAGGGCCTTGTGGGTAGGGTCCTTGTGGGTAGGGCATCTGAGGGTAGGGGCCAGGGGCATAACCTGGACCCGCTGGAGGGAATCCAGGCTGACCGTAACCACCTGCTTGGGGGTACGGTCCCCCTGGGCTTTGGCTGTAGTTGGGAGGTGGCATGCCAAAACCTGGCTGAGGGGGTCCGTAGACGTCATTATGCAGTGGGTTGGCCTCACCCATAATAGGGTATCCACTTTTGTCCTGGGACATGGTGTGGATGAATGCTTACAACTGCGATAATCTATAAAAAAAATCAGATTTGGACAATGATAACTTAACAGATAACTTAGCAGAAATAAAGACATATTTTCAAACAGAAGCTCAACACCTTCAACCTTTAAAACATAAACGATATATCGATAATAAAGTTTTCCTGCTAAACAAAAGTGGCAAGTTGGAGGAAATAAAACAGACTCTTGACATATAAACTWCGGTAAAACAAAACTTTCAGTGCTCAATCTGGTGACACAAAAAGAAAAAATGTTTAAGCACATTTTTAAATCAATCAACCAGTCTACTTGAACAAACTTGTGCGAATGTCTGTTATGTGCACAAAGCATCCTTTGTACCTTTTTTTTTACAGTGAAATGACACAAGTGCTTCTAAATGTATTTTGCAGGTTTCACAAAGAAGGCTACAGTTCTCAGCAGAAAACCCCAGGAAACTTTCAAAAACAGTGTGGAAAGCATTGGCTTTACAGTACAATACAAGCAACATAGTTGAGTGTCCGAAGGAAAATAAACAAATTCTCTACAAAAGTATTCATTCAGTAAAATAAAGTCATGTTGCTTTCTCCTTTCTTTTTCCAGGCCACGCTGAAATAACAGTACGTGTTACGCAACGTCGAACCATTTTGCCGTGGCAAATGCATTTGGACCCCTGATGATCCCTGTCCCTGCATCACTTGGGAAGTTGCAGTGAGACGCTGCAGACAAACATGCTGGTGGAGCTTCATGCTGACATTTTCCATTAAGATCCTTCCAGATTACAGCTATTATCTAAGGAGCCAAATCCTGCTACAGACAACTATAATTGTGTCAGACACAGGCAACATATTTTACACACTGATTTTTTTTTTTTTTTTACAATAGGACTTGGTTAACCAGTCATCTATCTTTGGATTAATGGTTAATGTAGTAGTGAATACTGGTTTTCACAACTGCAATCTGTAACAGCTGTATATAACAGTCACGTCCTGAGCAACATTGACTCAACAGTTYTTAAGTAAATAAGTGACACGTAGATGGAGCATACACAATCCTCCCTGACCAATGTTCACATTTACAGCTACTGGGAGCTCAAATCACTTAGAATACACCATGTAGGATAAAAGTTTTTAATTTTATAATTAAATGCTGGTTTATTAAATAATTCAATTAAATCACATACTTTTTACTACTTCCGTCAATAGTTTGTGAGCACTTTTATGACTCAAGTTACCTTTTTGCTTGTTTGTTACTAGGATTGGGGCCACAGAGCACAAAATACATAAAGCTTCCTGAGTTCTGATTTTAATTTCAGAATTATGAGTAAAAAGTAGGTCAACAGTTTCTGAGATACTCAGACCAGCCTGTCTGATACCAGCAATCAATCCACATTCAAAACCACTTTCTTTCCTGTTAGAAAGTGTATAAAATTGGACTCCCGAATAGTTGCGCAGAAAAACCAATCAGGTTCTGAGAAAAATGTTTATTCTGTTTTAAAAATTCCACCTGGCCCAGCGCCTGTGTGTGACCCTGGGTCCAATCAGAACACAAAACCATGGCTTCTAACTCCGGTTACACTCAAGTACCACGTGTCCWTAACAAACCAAAAATACTGAGGAACACTCTGGCCACACCCCCTGGGGGCGGTGCCTTTTACGTCAACAATAATGTAAGCAATTCTTTGTTTATCCTGCAGGAGAGGGACACATTAAGTAAACTTGTTGATTTTCTTACTGATCAAAGTAAATGATTGCAATCAACCACAAAAACGATACATACGACTGTATCTTGTATCTATTTTTTACATTCAAAAGATAAAAAATATTATTTTATTTCTTTACTTTAAAATGTAACTCCTCGTTCCACGCTATAAATTTAAATATGATCAGAACTCATCATGAAATGAGTTCTTTATGCTCTCCAAGTTATGTCAAACTGCTTTACATTTACTCAACTCTGTCTAGTGGAACTAGTTGACACAACATGGTTAAGTAAAGACAACACTTTATTTCTTAGTGTGTGTAAAAGTATTTTAACTTTCCCAATTATTGTGAGCAGTTTTATGACAGTGTAATCCATTTTTACCAAAGTCAATTTCTGTTAAAGTTTTTTTTACTTTTATCGTTACACCCTATATGCAGGATGAAAATTACAAAAAGAACAAAAAACTGTAACTTATTAAAGTCCAAGGTTTAATGATTTTTAATGACTTGTTTAAATTGGTTTATGAGTTTATTAGTGAGTTTTAATATTGTGATGTTTTTATTGGTAACTGTATTTTACACTTGTATTTCATGTAGCTAAAAGCCCATCTACGGACGGGCATTGCAAATTAGCTTTGGCTATAAATGTTGTAGTGTATAGTATTGTTAATACTTGACACTTGTCCCTATTGAAATAAACAATAAATGAAATGAAATGAAATGAAATGTAGTCAAACACTTTATTTTTACTAATCCTTTAACCTCAAATCATTGCCAGAAAAAAACAACACACTAATAAGAAAATGAATCAATAATTTGAGAATATTGTTATTATAAAGAATATAGAATTTCACAATTATAACTTTATTCTTCACTTTGTACTTTCCTGGTAAAACTAGAAATCTGACTAATTTGGTGAAAAAGTCACAAGTGCTGCTAATGAACACGTCACTTGTTTTTATTTGTTTCACTGCGTTAAAGAAAAATCTTGCAAACTTTACAATAAAAGACTGCATTGTGTTTTATTTTTAGAGTTGAAACCATCAGTCCAGCTCAATCTGTGGCTTTTCATATCTATAATGGATTACTTTGTGTAATCCAAAGTTAACAGCATACACTCCAGAGAACAGAGCACTAATATCTCTCAAAGCCACAACATCTGTGCAAGCAGCACCCTCCACTGATGTTTCCACAACACAATGTTTTTCCATGTGTCACGTTGTGAAATAAATCAGCGTGGTATAAAAAGGATAAAAAAAAAAAGACTAAAATGACTCAGAAGAGGGTGTTGAAAGTTTGTGACCTTTCTAATAATCACTAAGTTATGAATTAAACAACCACAATAGTTTCACTTCCGTGTCTGAGARTAAGTCAAAGTGAAAACAGTCAGTACTCCAAAATATTCCGTTTAAGACAGGGTTCATACGGCTTTACGGGTGTCAGGCGAGGCTACAAATCCTCTTAGGCGAGACGCCACGATGCTGTGATAAAAACAGTGCCACTGTCCCCGACCTCTGCTGACAGGGATCACTAAGGGAATTAGGTTAAAGGGAGGGGGGATTCAGTGGTCCAGTCAGAGAGCCAAGTTAACACAATTAGGTTAGGACAATACCGCGATAAACCCACGAATAACGCGCTACGTGCATGCCTGAGCGACGGCGGTGACAAAATATGTCCAACCAGAACAAGCRGTGGGGCCAACACAAGTTAACACAAGATGCTGACCACTAAAACTTCAAAACACAACAAAGAATCATTGTTACTGATTAAAAAGATCTTCATTAAAATGCTGTTTCGTGGTCACATGATGACTTACGGAGCCCACGAGGGGACATGGGGGATTTTTTTTTTCCTTTTTGCATTCCCACGCAAAAGTATTGCGTTACCTCCCAAAAGTCATTAAACACTGTTGTGCCTGCCGGTTTATTAACAAACTCACATGTTCACCATTAGCGAGTTAGCCTACTGCTTAATTCAGCTTCAGAATGAATATATCACACAGCCACGCATGGATGTCATGTGCTGATTTATAAACACAGTGCAGCCAGCCGAGCCACGCAACTGAACATCAATGTGAATTTCACAAACTTGTGGCAAGACATCCTGTTTTGGTAACCGGATATTACAAAATAAGTCTGATTTAATTCAGTTCATATACAAATCAAACTTTTGCGTAGGAGCGCAAAAAAAATTGCAAGGTAACGCAAAAGAATTGCGAGGGAACGCAAAGGTATTGCAAGGGAACGCAAAAAAAAAAAATCCCCCCATGTCCCCTTGCGGGCTCCGTAATGACTAACAGTGGGCTTGCTTGATTTTGTAATCTATGGGTTAAAAAAAAAGAGCATGTGATCATTTCTCACACAACCACACGTGTACGTGATGACATAACACCAGTACAAATACTGGTTAAGTATTAAGGCTTTTTCAAAGAAGAGCCAGTTCTTCATGTTTTGTCTCAAAAGTGTATCATTTATATCATGTATGTGATATACAGTGCATGRTATAAAAAACAATTATTTGGACTAACTGGCAGATAAGTCTCTTCAGGCAGCTGATCTGACAGTCTGTCTTRTCAAACCTGCAGACACAAAGTCTTKGCAGTTTCAGGAAGATAATCATAATCTACCATAAACAAAATACACTAAGAAAGTTCRTGTTAAATTCTAAACTTTTAAAAACTTTGCTTGATTTACTGATTACTAAAACCCTAGAATAAGTTGTAAAAAGTGTTTTATTGGCGATCAGCAAGCGCYTCTATGTATACGAGCAGACAGCTAACAGCAGCAGTTCAAAGTCTGCTCACTGAAAGAATATGAGCCCAATCAGTTGTCATTATCAGTGGGTCAAGCTGTCAAGACAAACTGGTTTATCTTACAAAATAAAACTAAAGCAATTTAAAAAAATACATTCATCCAAAACATTTCAGCCGTATAAATGAATTTTAAACGATGGAGTTATGTGGAAATTAAGCAGCTATCTTCAAATAACAAAATGAAACATAATTCCCTCACATGATATCAGGTGATCAGTTTATGGTTTCAGTTTTGCTTTGCAAAAAGCAGCCGGACGTTATTGGAAGAAACTGATCCAGCTCGTACAGCTTACTACTAAACAAGCGCTTCAAATTTTACATTAGACAGTTGAAGAGCAAAAATATTGAGGGAAAACGATGATGTCTCTTTTAGGGGATCGGATCAATTTCAAGCAAATGTAAATTCGTAATCTGTCAGCAAACAACCAGACTTGTTTCACGGTACTTGTACTGGTGCTAAAGGCTTTCAAAATAAATCACTCAAAGGTATTAGAAATAAATAATGTAACAGTTCGGCGTGAGGTGCTGTCTCAAGTGAAGGAGTTTAAGCATCTTGAGGTTATGTTCATGAGTGACATGAGAGTATTTCATGAGACAGACAGATCGATGCAGCTTCCATAGCAGTCCGTTGTGAAGAGGGAGCTGAGCTGCAGGGTGAAGCTCTTTTTTATTTTTAACCATTTCTAACTTCAGCTATCACAGTCTCTGGTGCTGACATGAATGCAACCAGTTAGCGTGAGATCACTGATACAGGCTGTCAAATGAGTTTTCTCCACGTTATCCGGACTCTACTTTATAGGGTGAGAAGTTCAATAATCCAGGAGAAAGTCAAAGTAGAGCCGCTGCTCCTCCACGTCGAGAGGAACCAGCTGAGGTGGGCTGTACTGCTAACGGTGTCCCCATGACGCCTCCTTAGGGACGTCTTCTGGATAGATCCAACTTGGATGAGACCCAGGACAGTATGGAGGGACTGTCCCTCAGCAGGCCATGAAACACATTGGCATCTCCAGAAGAGCTGAAAGAGGTGGCTGTAGAAAGAAATGTCTGGGTCTCCCTGCTCAAGCTGCTGCCCCTGTGGCCAAACTCTAGACCAGTGGTTCCCAAACTTTTTATCTTCTGACCCACAAACTATCCACGGCAAAAACTTGTGACCCCAAATATTACTGATCTGAGTACACAAACTTCATTAATAACCCTAAAAACACAGGCTTTTGACAATCTAAACAGCTTGTACACAAATATAAATACTTATTCATATTTATTTTGTGTTTTTGTAATAATTATAGGGAAAATATTACATCAGCTATTATTTTATTACCC